AGGGTCCTGGGATCGAGTCCCGCATCGGGCTCCCTGCTCAGCGGGGAGCCTGCTTCTCCTTCTGCCTCTCTCTCTCTCTCTGTCTCTTATGAATAAATAAATAAAAAATCTTAAAAAAAAAAAAAAGAAGTTGGCAGAGGGCAGTTCCTGTGGAGGGCTCTGCTCCACTCTGAGCCATCGGCAGACAGCACACCTGGCAGCTGGGGGAGAAGAAGCCGGTCCTGTGGGGTGGGGATGGGGTGCTGGCCGTGCACCTGCGACGGGCCAGCCCTTAGAGACCTGCAAACACCCGACTCTCCCAGAAGGCTGGGAGAACAGCTGGTGCTGTTCTGTGTTGATAGTTCACGGTCACATTTACAATCTCATATCCTTTATCTACTTACTATGCAATTAAACCTAAATGCTGGGACTGTCTCCATCGGCTGTTCCACCTGGGGTCGTGTGTCCACGTCAGTGGAAGCCTCACTGCCCCACAAGGACACCCCACAATCAGCCATTCTGGAGAGCGTATTGCGAGCCACTCCAGGCTTGCTATGACCTGTGGCACCTTGCTCTGTGACCTGAAGAAGTGGGTCCTTCTCTCTTGCCCGAACTCTGACTTCGCTTGTACACACCTTTGGAATTGAGAGGTGCAAATGGATAGACAGACTTGCAGAAACCACTTGTTTGAAGCTGCTGCCCTCTGCCCCTGCCAACAAACTGCGTGCATCAGTTTATGCACAGATACTTTGGCCTCACTATACATGAGGATAGAATAATGAACTCTCATTTAAAGCCACTATTTCATTTGTTGAGGACTGTTTGCGAGTGCATGTATTAGGCTGCTCGGGCTGCGTGGCAAAGGACCACAGACACAAAGGACCAAGTCTGGAAGCCTGAGACCCGGGTGTGGGCAGGGCTGTTTTCTCCTGAGGCCTCTCTCCTGGGCTTACAGATGGCCGCCTCCTCCCCGAGTCCCTCTGTGTACATCTGTGTCCTCATCTCTTCTTATTAGGACACCAGTCACGCTGGATTAGGGTCCCCTTGTGACCTCATGTCAGCCCACACCAGTGTGGCACCCATTATATTTCTCAGTGTAGGACCCACACTCCAAAGATTTGCTTTCAGACCTGTGTTCAGAAGGATTTTTTCCCTTAAAAAGACTAGCATAGTTTCCCTTATGGATAGTGTGGATGTTGTGACTATCTTTATATGTATTCACTGTGCCTAAAGTTCAATTTTTGGCCCATGTTTAGCACATCAAGAGTCATCAGAATCACCCAGAGGGCTGTGTTAAAACAGATCACTGGGTTCCACCCCCAGAGTGTCTGACCCAGGGGGTCTCGTGGGGCCTGAGGTTTTGCATTTCTGACAAGTACCCCCAACCCCCCGGGGGTGCTCACCCACCTAGTCCACACATGGCCCACCAGGTGACACAGTGGGAGCGCCCCGGGACAGGGTATCACGCCCTGCTGGTGCTCTGGGGGGAGGGGGGAGTGATAGGCACCTGGGCACTAGGGACCCTCCCCACAGCCTGTGGATCTCCTCACCCCTTGGGAGGACTTTTACCCTAAATTGTTGTGACCCAGCTTAGCTGTGGCATTTCAGACCTCAAAAGTAACAAAATTTTAGGGACACCTGGGTGGCTCAGTCGTTAAGCGTCTGCCTTCCGCTCAGGTCATGATCCCAGGGTCCTGGGATCGAGCCCCACATCGGG